TTAGGGTTAAACCCCCGTTCCCCGGGGAAGGGAATTATCCAGGAAACGTAGAGAAGTATCAAGCGGCCCCGAAAAATTTTGGAGCCCAAATTTAAATAGAGCGAGCCAAAGCCACAAGACGTTAAATACCATGTACTGTTATTCCGAGACCCTCTGTACCGTACTCAGTAAAATTGAATCCTAATTTAAATCAAAAATTTTAGAAAAAATCTTTTGGACAATAAAGCAATTTTTTGTTTCAAATTTAAGAATAATATGCAAAAATGTCGACATTCAAGATACAAATCTAATATTATTAACATATGTAAGTAAGGAATGGATTCTCTCGAAAAATGGATTCTTTCGGGTTGTACTATATTTGACTTATCCATTTATCCAAGTATATTGACTAGAATTTTTCAAGAAAAACATTGAAATATGTACCTCGGTCAAAATTTGCCCCTCGACCTCGATCTCGGCTTTTCCAGCCTCGGTGATCCTCGGTCTCGGTTTTTTCAAAAAACCTCGACCTCGACCTACTCTATATCAAACGCCATCATATTTATTTATCTTCCGATACAGGTCTTACCATAAACATTTTAAATCCTAGACACACCATAGTAGATTATTTACCTTAAAATAATAGTTACATCCTTTGTTTTACATTGATTAATATATGTATTTAATTTTTTATTAAATAAAGTTAAATTAATTTCAGCTTTGTTAGCAGGTTCTATTCTTATTTTTCTTAAATCTTTATTAATTTTAATAACAAAACAAGTTATCCACAATTCAGTTAAATTTTTATTAATATTTTCATTTATTATTTTTACAAATTCTTTAGCATTTTCAATTAATTTTCCTTTTTGTAAATCTGTTTTTATAGAATATTCCAAAAATTCATCTTTTAATTTGTAAAATTCTGCTATCAAAAATGACACAGAAATTCTAATTTCTGCATATACTCTATTTATTATTGCCTCCTCTGGACTTAACTCATCATCAATATCCTTAATGTTGAAATAAAGTATTTGTTTATATAATAGCCAAAGATATTCTTCATCCATTATATCTGAATATATTTTTTAATTAATATTTTATTTGAGATTAAAGAATTTTTATATCTATGTAGATTAAAAGAAACATCAAAATAAATACCGTATTTACTCTAGTATTCCCCCAGTCTTTATTAATTCCCCAGTCTCTATTAATTCCCCACCCTAGAGATGGGTTGAAACAATAATCTCCCTGGGGAATTACCAGAGTAAATACGGTATATTTATGTATAAAGACCACAATTATATTAAGGATATTATAGTAAAGCAGCTGGGCTATAGCTATTTTTCTCTTTTAGCTAGTGCAAAAGGTTATTCGGCGGCTGGGAGCGAACCAGCATCTTCAGTAGTCCGGACTGATGTGTTAGCCATTACACCATTACAAACCATTAAATATCTGTATGCTTTACATTATTGTGAGGGATTTTGTAATTAATAATTTAAATTTTAAGCATTTTTCAGCAATTATAATTTAAAACAAACGAATTTGAAAAATTTCTGGCAATTGTAATTCTAACTTTACAAACATTGCAATGTCTAATAATTTAATTAATTTAATTTTCGGAGTTTCTTTCAAAATTTGTGTTAAATTTTTTGATATTTTTTGTAAATTAATTAACGTTGTTCTATGCATTCTTCTTAAAGCTACTTTTCTAAGTGGGTCATTAAATAATTTATTTATAGTTTTCTGGACCTTTTTTTCTGTTGAACATTCTTTTTCTTTATTTTTGAAAAACTTATCTTCCTAAAATTTTTTATTTATTGCTTTCTTTAAAATATAGTCAATTAAAGATTTAATTAAGATAAAGCTAGCGATGTTCACTACGTATCCCCGTTTTTTCTTTGTTATCCCAGACGATTTTAAAAGTTTTAGTTAATTACCGGTTTTATTGTAGGGGAATTTTTTTAAATCACTCATTAAATTAAAAATCACTCTTTTACAAAAAATTTTCGTGTTCAGTTTTTTAATTTTTATAGAATTGGTTAATGTTTGGCAAGAATTTCGTTCAGCTCGGAGTAACGTTATAGTGAGGATCTGAATTTTTATTTTAAAACAATTTAAGCTTTTACTAATTTAGGTATATTTATCTTCTCCACAATTTTAGCCCAATCATTATTTTCTAATAATTCTTTATCATTAAAAAATCTTTCTTTTAAATAATATATTTTACAAATAATTAAAGGATTTTCCCATATTTCATTAATTCCATTTTCAATTAATTTATTTAATTCTTCATTATATTCATTTAATTTTAAATAAAAATTATTATTTTCTTTTTCATTAATTTTATTTTTTCTTTTATTTTTATTTTGTTTTTGCAATTTTAAATTATTTCCCAAATTATAAGCTTCTTCCATTATTTTAATGGTATACCAAGAATAAATATGAAATTTTAACTTATTATTTTCATTTTCAGAAATTTGGTCATTTTTAAAATAAAAATTGTAATCCTGAATTATTTGTTGATTAACAGGATCCTCTTTTAAATCTAGAAATTAATCGTTATTTTTAAATTTATTAATGAATTAGATGATGTTCACTGTTAGTTAATTGTCTCGGTCTCTTAGTTCCGAGTCTCTCGAGCAACCAAAACATTTTTAGGCATAAGTTAACAATTCTTCTCATTTTTAAAAGAAAATAGAATTTTTTAGATTATTCTTTCAGGTTAAACCATTTTAGTTCAAGAATATTTCCCAAATAATTTTTCAAAATATCCCCAACCTAGAAACAAAATAAAACCTATACCCCGATGCCCCTATCGCTTTAAGTTACAACTTTGATAATAATCACAACAAATTAAAATATTATTTCTAATTAATTCTAAAAAATAATTTACCGCTAAAATATATTTCCACACCTAAACTACCATAAATTAGAAGAATAAATTGAAAATAAAATAAAAATATTTTAAACATTTTATTTATTTATTTTTTTTATTTAAATTAAATAATTTTTTAATTAAATATTTTATTAGACAATTTTTTAATAATAATTTTTCTTGTCAAAATTTTGTAAATTTAAATAAAAATTAAATTATGAAATCCTGTCCGAAATAAAAAGGGCAATTTATAAAAAAGGGCAATTTATATTTTTCAAAATAAAATAATATTATGAAATAAAAAATAATAAAAGTGCCTTTATGTACATATAAGAATAAATGTCTGTAAATATTTCAAATCATGATGTAATTATGAATTTCTATGCCTAATTATATTTTCCTACGTTTATAAAAATCCATTTATTTGGTTACTATTAAGATTATTTGACGGGAATATCTACTCCTTTCTAACTTACCGTATTTGCTAAAATAATTACCCAGGTAATTATTTTTTTGATCTCTCGCTGGAGGGTGTAATTAATAGGGCGGGGGTAATTATTTGTGAGAGAGACATTATTTCAGCAAATACGTTATCTTACTTTCTTATCACGTCGACAGAGAAGGTCCGGCAGAGAAAAGTAAAAATGAAATGCCCTCATTAATCTAATGATTGTAATTTTTAGAAAATTTTTTGTGTGATTTACATATCCTAAATCACAATCTGCTCTAAATGCTTAGGCTGAAGCCATGTGCAAATTATTGGAATTATTTAACGCTGTAGCGCACAGCTCTGATGGGGAGTTGCAGTTACCTAATTTACTAAAGTACACAATTTCTATTCAATCTCTCCAAAATTTTGCCAAGAAATGTCCAAAATCTCACGGTTTGTTTGTCAAATAGTTTTTTAAAAAATAAACAAAATTTTCTCACAAATATTTTTTGTATTTAGAAATTATTAGCTTGTTCTTTTTAATAAAAATTAATTTTAATTTCTTTCAACTTTTAAAAAAAATTACATAAAATTAAAGAAATTACGCTTTAATTAAATTTTATTTATTAAATTAAAAATTAAAAAATGGCCTCAGATTTACTTGATATTTTATTTAAATTAGATTATTTTGTTCCTTTATTAATTGGATTCCCTTTAAATATTATTCTAATTATTTTAATTATTTATAAAACACCAGAAGAAATGAAAATACACAGTCGAATTCTGATACAAAATTGTGTTTTGGATATTTTAATGTTGATTGTTCAAATGTTTCTTCAAGGAGTAATTTGATCAAAATTATTTAAAAAAATATCAGAATTCAAAATATTTTTAATTAAAATTAATAATTTTTAAAAATATAATTTTTATTTGATTTAAAAATGAAAATTAATTTCAATCCAATTTTATAATTATATATTTATAGTTTTATGTTCTCGATACAGAAGGGAATACAGTTACAATATTCCCTAATGGAATTTTGCTAAGCTTTACAAAAGAAAATTTTAATCCGCTTATATGTCGTTTTGTTGATATATTTTGGGTTTATATTTTTATTTTAAATTTAAATGGATTGTGTGTTCAATTTATTTTTAGATATTTAATTCTAAATAGGTAAAGAAAAATATTAAAAAAACAAAAATTTTGTTATAAAGTTTGGCTTCATGCATATCAGAGGTGGGTCGGAATTCCGATTTTAAATATCCGAATTCCGACTTTTGAGCCATTCTGATTTCCGGTTGTTCCGATTTCCGACAACTCTGACTATTCAGACTCACCTCTGATGCATATGTATTTTGCGAAATGGTCACACTTATACTAGATGGAACAGATTTTTCATAAAAATTTATTTATAGAAAATATTAAAGCGGGGTTGGGCACGAATGCTTGCAAAATCCCAAAATATTCGTAGATATTATAATAAACATTGAATTTTGGGCATTTTTTCAAATGTGCATGTCAAAACAAAAAGAAAGGCCCAAAGGAATTAGCTCGGGCAAACACCAGTTTTGTATGCTTGAATTATGTTCCAGACATTAGTGTTGGTCGAGACTCTCGGCTTTTTTAACTCCCGACCATCACTACCAGACATATAAGCATACTACAAAACTGCATTTGCATCTTTTGTTTAACCCCAATATTTATTATTTTAGAAATATGAAAATTAATTTTCGTCGTTATTTGTTAATGGTGTTTATTGCTTTATTTGTATCAGCATTTTTCATTGTTGATACACTTTTCATTGCTATAACATATTCTTTTGGGGGTATTAAATATTTTGATAATTTAAACAAAACACTGCCATTTGTTGAGTATAAAATGGAAACGGTAATTTTTAAAATTAAATTAAAATAAATTCCAAAAATAGTTGGCTATTTTGAAACTTTTACCTGCAACTATTGCTGAATTATCTGCATATTTAATAATATTTGTTTGTGGGTTTAAAATGGTTAGATATGTCAATTTAAACACTAATTTTGATGAAAATTTGAAGAGATTAAATAAACTTTTAACAAAAGTTTTGATTATTTTGGTAAGATGAATTCTAATTAAAAGTTTGTTATATGTAGAATATTCTCACCTTTGAGAGAGAGAGAGGGGGAGCGAATATCCCCTGATCCCACTTACTATTTTAATTTAAAATTATTTTTCAATTTTCTCTCTTCAGAGAGAGGGAGGAAAAAGAAAAAATCTCGATTATTTTTTACATTTTTCAATTTTATTTTCATCTGTTTTTATAATTTAATTTTTAGGCTATTGTACCTTTTGCTAATCAAACTGGACTTTTATTCTGTATATTTTATTCACAAACAACTAGCACTACAACAAATATTATTAGAATCTTAATCCTTTTTTTTCATTTAACACCTGTATTTAACCCAATTATTTGTATTTTAACAAACACTCCATATCGAAATGTCTTTTTTAATCGTTCACAAGTACATCCACAATAATTGAATAAAAAATATTCTTGTATTATTTTAATAAAAAAATTTTTACAAAACACAAAAGGGCCTAAAATTTTAATTTTCATTGACATTGGTAAAAAATTTTTTGTCTTAAGAAACTACTAAGAGGCACAAAAATTTTTCTTTCTTATTGTTAGATAGGAAGGGTTAAGATATCGAAGTAGTAAGGGGGATATCTGTGGATCTGAGGATTAAGAGGATTTTCTCTTTTTTAATCGTTTTAGAATTAATCCACAATGAATTAATAAAAATATTTTTTTTTATTTTGATAAAAATTTTACAACATTAAAAATATGTGAAGGCCGGCCGACAATTAAAGATAATTGTCAGCTGGCCTTCATACATAGTTTCAATGTATAGTCTCAATCCACAATCAGAAATGATTCATTGAATAATACAAAATACATAGTATGTATATTTTTATTTAAAAAATAAAAATTTACTAATCTGATTAAAATATAGCTTCAAATTAGAGCAGGTCGAGGTTTGAAAATGAGCGAGGACCTCGGCCTCAGCTAGCCTCAACCTCGACCTACTCTACTTCAAATTCAAAAGAATAAAATTTTAGGGAATACAAAAATATGAAAAAATCATAGGTTATTCTTAACTTTATTCCATTACATAATTTAGAAAAAAAATTTAATAAAAATTATAATAAAATACGTACTACATATAATTAGATTTTTTAGATAAATACATATGTTCATTTCAATTATTTTTTTTCAAATGCTTTTTACTTTTAATTAATCCGTTGAGCCAATCTCTAAAATCTTTACAATCTAAAATTAGAATATTATTAGTTTTATTTAATAAATTAATTACATTTCTTTTCCAGTTCTGTGACCAAATCATCGAAAGTCTTTGCATTTGATTCGAAATGAGTTAAATCTAAATATACTTTTTTTATTTTTGTATTCTTATTAGAACTTAATATTTAATTTAAAATTTTAAAATTAAATCATTCAAAATAAATTTTTTATTTGAAAATATTATTTTTCATGTTCTCATGCATTTTAAATTTTTTTCCCCAATTAAAAAGGATTTGTTAATTTCGTAATTTCAGTTAAATACCGTGAATCTTCTAATAATACCTTCCAATAGAAACACACTCCCTAATTTATAAGAACATCCTAAAAGAAGATCAAAAAATAAAGCACATTTGATTCAATTAGAATATTTACGGTATTTGTACACCTAATATTCCAACAAAAATCTTATTTACCTTTTCCTTCCCATTTAGAAGATAAATATTTGAAATATTCTTCTTCCATTTCAGAATTATTGGAAATTAAATTTTTATAATTAAATACATTCTCAAAAACTTTTTCTTTATTTTTTTCATAATTTAAATAATTTTGTTTTCCTCTAATAGGTAAGTCATCAATTTTCTCCTTTCCTTTGTTTGAAGAGTTTGGATGAAATGATTTTCCATTTAAAATAATATTTAAATTAAATAAAAATAATTTATAATTAAAAACAAAATTAAAAAGAGGAAAATTTTGTATAAAAAATTAATTGAGAAAAATAAAAAATTAAGTATTTACCATAATAATGATGTACATTTTGGTGTGATTCGAAATTGGAAGTTTGAACGGGCTGAGGCCAGAAAGAAAACTTAAAAAAATTATTTTAGTAATAAATAAAAATTAGAACTACAAACTTTTGAAAAACGATAATAAAATGATTTTGGAGAGAAAAATTATAAGTAGTTGACACTTAGGTACTTGCAGTCGAGCGAATTTTGATGACGTTCGACTCAGCTCGACGAGCTTTTTTAAATGACATATTGTTTGCCTGAATCGGTTTCCGAGACTTATGACGGAATATTTCCCATATTTTTTACAAATATTTTTAATTTATTAAATAAAATTTTTTAATATTAAATTTAAATATATATAATTTACAAACAAACATTATTATTTCCAAAAGAATTATTTAAAATTAATCCTTTCCCTTTAATTTTCTTTAGAATAATATTTTGTTTTAAAATATTTATTTCATACATTTGTTTAATTATTTCAATTTTATGATTTAAATATCCACCAAAATCTTTTCCTTCAATTTTTATTTTATTTTTATAATCCTCATTTAATTTTTCAAATAATCCAATTTGATGTTTATATTCTTTTAATTTATTATTTAAATTTTCAATTGTTTCTTCATTATTCCCGAAATTTTTATTAATTAAATTTCCTTCATTTTCTATTTTTAAACGTTTATTTTTGTTATTGTTTATTTTTTCTTTCCCTTTTATTTGAATTTCTTCTTTCATTTTATTTTTGTTTGATTTTGTGTTGTCGTTAATTATATTTAAATTTTGAGGAGTTAATTGACTATTATGGTAATTATCTTTAAATAAAATTAATAAAATAAGTAATTAAATTAAAATATGTACAACACAATCCATGTCTTTAATAAAATAATTTATTATTCATAAAAGGAATAATAATTAATTATTATTCCCCTACTAATTAATCCATCCATACAAGAGTTGAAAAAAATTACCAGGATAATTATTCAATATTCAGAATCTATTTGAGCAATAAGAGTATTGTAAAGCATATAGCTATTAATTTCCTAAGGCTGACAATGAGCAGTAGGCGGTGTGGTGTAATGGCTAACACATCAGTCTGGTCTACTGAAGATGCTGGTTGCCGCCGAATAACCTTTTGAATTAGCTAAAGGAGAGAAATAGCTATAGCCCAGCATCTTTACTGTATAATACTCTTTATCAACTTATGTATAGTCCTGCAAATATACAATAAAACCAAAAATCCCCCTCACTTTTTCATTCTACTCGGTTTTTTGTAAAAAAATAATTTTATTAAAGTATTCACCAAAATTTGTTTGAAACTCAAATTCATCATTATTATCATAAGAGAAATCAATATAATCATTCCAATCAAATTCCATTTCTTCTGTATTTATGTTATGAGAACATAATTTATTTAAATTATCTAATTCTTCCCACTAAAAATAAATTAATTTACCGTATTATCTCTAATAGAATGCCCGGGCATTCTATTTTTCAATCACCTTCCAAAGGGGCATTCTATTAGAGGGGGCATTCAAATGGAGGGGGGCATTCTAATAGAGATAATACGGTAATTACTTTAAATTAATTTTAGTTACTTTTTTCTCATATTCTGATTGATTTTGAACATTTTGATCAAATTGGTTTTGTTGATTATTTTGAATTTCTTTATCTTTTGATGTTGAAGCCTTATTTATATTTGTTGGTAATGAAAATTGAAATTTTATAAAAAAATAAAAAAGTAAAAATAAAATAATTTTTAAAAACATCTTTAATTATTTCTCAATTATTTAAATTGGAATTTTAATTTTTTTGAAAAGAAAATTATTTTTAAAAATTTAATTAAAAATTAAAAACTATAGGATGAAGTTTAGCTTTTTAATAGCCTATTCATATACGGGTTTTTGATAAATTTAAGAAAGGATTATCATAAATTTATTAACAAAATAAGTAACTATTTAGGAATATTAAATATTATTTTAAAAAATAATAATTATTTTTAAAGATTATTACATAATTCTGACAAGCATTTTTATTTGGCATTTAGAAATAAAAACAAAATTAAAAGCCGTTACATAACAGTCGGCCTTTTAATAAACAGGCGTCTCCTTTCTTTTTTATGAATAAAAATAAAAATTCACGAGTTAAAGTGCAAAATAATATTTATTTTTTATGTAAAAATTCACGTGAAAATAAAAAAATTAAAGAAGTTTTTATTAATTTAAAAATTTATTTTGTTGCGCAACATTATTTAAAACTTTATCGTTGTAACTACTATGGTTGAATCCAGCCCCTGAAGTCGGGAAATTTGGAGATTTTTCTCCTCATTTTCCCTCACTCGTGATGAAGCTTACCGAATTTTACGACCTCACCACCCCAAAGGGAAGGGAAAAATGAATGATGCCCCGATACAACATGCGCTTATTAAAAACACCTAGACTGTGTATAAAATATCGGACTAAGCAATTGGTTATTAAGATTGTCCAACCAAACTTTTATCAAAATAATCATATCACAAAGATTAATAATATGAAAAGAATTGAAGGTCACTTTTTTGTTGGGTATATAGTTTCTTCAAAATTCAAAAACGTTTAGTCCTCCTGCAAAAATCTTTTTAGACTAGCATCCTCGCCATAATCATTTTATGCTTATTTAAAAAATGTTTAAATAAAGTTTTTTTATAAAATTAGAAAAAATATTCAAAAATTTTCTTAAAAATTCTATAATAAGTTATTCTAATAAGTTATGCTTTATTATTCTAATAAGTTAACAGGTAAAAACGTTCTTAATGAGACCTATTAATTATTAGTGAATTTACTAACAGAGATATTTTTTTAAAACATCAAAATATTTATTTACTTACCATTGTCTCCATTACCATTATTTGAACTATTTTCACTTGTACCATTTCTTGGAGTGCTATTTGAACCCTGTGATGATTGTTGTGGGGGTTGTGGTTGGAATTGTCCTGGTCGGTATTGTTGTCGTAGGAATTCTTGTGGCAGGAAATGTTGTGGCTGGATTTGTCCACGAACTTCTTCAGATAATCTAGGTCGACGAGGTGGTGGCTGTTGTTGTTGAATATTTGATGCAAGTGTGTTTAGTCCAGGGCCAAGAAGATTATTCAGAAGCTGGCGCTTACTTTCAGCCAAGTGTGGATTGCGAATTGAATATGGAGACGGTTGATTAAAAGGTAATTGAGGTAGAGGATTTATGTTGGCTGTATTGAAGGCTAGAATTAATTAATTTTTTGTATAACAAAATACCCAACTGCTATTAGGTATATGCAAATAAAATTAATAAATAATTACCAGAAGTCACTGGAATTGTTGGATTACGATTTATCTGTGGACGAATGTTTGAACTTTCAACAGTATTTAGTGAATGAACTTGTGAAGTAATTGGTTCATTTCTAATTACTTGCGCAATTTCATGTTGTCTTCGTTGTTGA